AATACAGCAGTCACTAGGCTCAGAACTTCATAGAGGATAAGTAATAATTAAAAATAAAAGTAATGTAATGCAGGAAGACCTACTAAAACCACCCGAAGAAAAAGAAAAAAATTTGAGTTTATAGTTTTTCTGCATCCTTCTTCTTCTGGTTTATTGTAGGGACTGCTTTCACTGCTTGGAAGTCATCTATGGGTTCTGCAGAATCTCACAGATTAAAGCACACAACAGTAAATATATAGGCCTTTTATATCCCAAATGCAGTTCACATACAGGACACAGAGGACAAGAAAAGGCTACTCATTTTAGCACCGTGTGCTCTCATCCAGACTTCTAAGACATCAGTACAGAGTAACAAACAACAACTCCAGGGAAAAGCCAAACAGGACTAACACTACTAGCAACCTATGCACTGTTTTGTGGTTTTTTTTTTTTTAAATACAGGTTATTAAAATATTAATCTATTTTACTGTCTATGTTTGTTTACTTTCATCATATATAAAGAACCATAGAATAATTTGCATCAAAAGGGACCACACTCAAAGTGGGACTAACTTCAGCATTAGATCAGGGTGCTCAGGAACTTGCGTAGTTGAGCTCTGAGCATCTCCAAGGTTGGAGATTCCACAACCTCCCCAGGCAGCCTATCAGCTGGAAAAGAAGAAAATGATGAAGAACCCAAACAGAAAGTCAGTTTTGCATTCTGAGATACACCTACGTACCTGCAATATTTGGATTTCCAAAAAACAACCCATGTTCCCTTTAAATTTTCTCTTCTGAAACAATTTTCGTGTCAGGTACTTGATTTTTTTTCCAGTACATCTCAAATTATAAAGAATATCAGATTTATACAATCATATTTTAACTAACTTGTCTTTGGTTTGTTGAACAAAGCTGTCTACATTATTTTTTCCCCTTTTTGACCCATTTTTAAAAGAACCTTTTTGCTACAAACCTCTGAAAAGGTGACATCATTAAAGAACAGGCAAATATTTAAATATTTGTTGCTTCTACAGTCTTTGAAAGGAACAAAGCAAACACTACTTCTTCAATGGGCTCACACACACTGAAAAAGTTCAGAAAGCAGAGTCTATCACAGCTGCATATTCATATAGCCTTTCTTTTAGTGCCTTCGGTGCAAAGCTGTCTATTCTCAGACACTCCAGATGGCACTTTAATCAGAAGAGTGACTGTTAAAATTCACTTTAAGTCATCTTTTACAGACTTCTGTGTTTTACTTATCGCATCAGAAAGTTATTTTACCAAATTTGCTCAATTCTCTATCTTTTATTTCACAACTAAGCCCTTCCCCTCCATAGCACTCTGAATGCTAGAGAATCACCATAATACATTTACTCACTCAGACAGAAGAAAAGTAGTATTATTTTTCTCATTATTTCAAATTGGAAACTCTGTCCAACATCAAAACTGCCAGAGAAGTGAGCTAAAGGTTAAATTACAACTCATCTATTTGACACTAATATCTGACATCCACAATGGTCTGGTTGCAGGCCAGGACAAGAAGCCGAAATTACAACAGCGACTACAGTGATGAGCCCTGCGGCTAGCGGAGAAATGGTAGACAACCACCTTCATCCTTGATCCCTCTGCTAGGTCTTACCAGCTCCTGAGAGCAAAAAAGAAGGCAGGACTAGAGTCTAAGGCAGCAAAATATGGCAACAGTGTCAGGTATGTCCTTCCGCCTTTAAAAGTGGCTCTAGCTAGAGTAGCTGACTGAAGGGAAACTTCTGGCCCAGTCTCTCCACTCAGAGCGTTAAAGTTCTCTCAAACTCCCCTCCGTTTCTCCTGACCCCACCCTGCACCAACTAACTCCACTCCTCTCTAGCATTCACTCACACTCATTTCAGGCTCTCTTTTCCATTCCTCCCAGGTCCACCAATTCCCCTGGTTCTTCTCACCAGAATACCCGCTGGAGTTACCCACCTATCCCATAGGAGTAGCATTATGAACCTCTCAGTGAGAAGCCTCCAGATCAGCTGCAGGGCTCCTAAGGCAGCAGCACTCCCCAGTCTCTGCAACTGGCATGAATTAAAAGGACTGTACACAGATAGTGCTTACTGAAAACTGATCAGGACAAGACTACAGAGGAGAGAAATACAAAAACCGGAATGCATATCTTCTCTGTGCTTTGAATTCCTCTGGAGGAATGGTTCCAAGAAAACATGGAAGGGGAATTCTAGCTTCCAATCTAGAAAGAAAGAAAAATTTTTCACTCAGAGGGTGGTGAGGCACTGGAACAGGTTGCCCAGAGAAGTTGTAGATGCCCCATCCCTGGAAGTGTTCAAGGCCAGGTTGGATGAGGCTTTGGGCAACCTGGTGTAGTGGAAGGTTTCCCTGCCCATGGCAGGGGGATTGGAACTAGATGATCTTTGAGGTCCCTTCCAACCCTAACCATTCTATGATTCTATGATAATCTAGCTTTAAAATAGTGTTCTTACCTGCAGATCTTCCCCAAAGATCAACATGTTCAAGTAGCCTTCTCAATGCTAACATGAAGCTATTAGGAAGCTTAGTTTGAAAGCAACGACTAAACTAGATGGCATCAAGTTTACCTGTCCTCTGCCACATGCACCTACATGTCAACACAATTAAGGTGGCCCAGTGCCAAGGAGATGAACTCAAGCAAGACCATGGCGGTGACTGGGGACAAAGAAAGGCAACTCAAAAGCTCTGGCAGCATAACACTGTTTCCTTTGACAGAAGGGACACTCCCAACTAGTTAAAGCTAAGTGCCAGGTTCCAATTCTGTGCTAAATTTTCATGTGAGAATCTTTATTAGTACTGCAGACAGTTCAAGAGCACAACATACCATACAGCACAAGAGGCTTATCAGCTTTACTCTAATGCACTGCAGAATTCTGGTCATTGCTGCAGAGTCTAAACTTCTTCAGGGGTAATCCGATGAAATCTCATAGGAACCAGGAGATCTTAGCACTTTAACTCCATACAGTATTGAGGATAAAAACAAACACAGCAATGTGTATAGCTGATACAGATTAGAAAAAGTCAAAATCAGTCTGCCTATTTCCACCCTGAAGAGGACTGAAAACATTACTGGACTTTGCTCCCTTTCAATGGAGACTGTAAGACTGAGGTGCCTCAGATAACACAGACCTGATGCACAGACTTGACTTCAGCATCATCTAGAATCGGGAGCCTAAGGACAACTGATTTTTCAATAAGCTTTTCAAAGTATTACCCACATTCATGAGAACACTGGAGAAATAGGACATAACCTCAGTAATTTCCAAAATGTTCTGCTTTTTATGCTGTCAATGCCCTTCCTCTATTTTAGAACAAAGACCTAAGTCGACCCACATTAAAAAACACACAGGAGTGTCTAGATACTGATATATAAACAAACACGCCTTTTTTGTGTGCAGAACACACTTCTTTTAGGTGTCCTCCATATAACACCCACTTGATATTTTAATTAATTATTTTTTTCAAGCACAGATACACATTACACACAGATACAGAGTTCTGTGCAGACTTTTTCACTTGACTTAAGACTCGATAAATGTCACAGACTTTCTCCTGTTATTACTAGGATTTGCGAGCAAAAACCCACTAACATTAAGAAGTTTCACTAAAAAATTACTTGGGTTTCTGTTAAACATGTGACAGAACAACGGAACATTACTCAGTTTTCCCCTCAAAGGAATACAAGTCCTATTAATACATGCAAAACGGATACAGACATTTGTCCTACATACGTTCCTGGGATTTCTTAATTGTATTGGTCTGGCTTAAGCAGTGAGAGCTCCTGGGCCACAAAAGGAACTTATGAGCACACTCTGCTTTTGAAGTGCAAGAAGGTCCTACTCAAGTGTTCATTTATACTTGAGCAGAGGGGTTGGACCAGATGACCTCCAGAGGTCTGATCCAACCTTGACCATTCTGCGATTGTTCAGCTATCAAGACATCAGAGAGATACACTCATGACAAGTAAGCTACAATTCCAGCAGCTGACCTCTGTCCACATGCAGCTAACATCTAATTCAGTGGAACTACTCAATAGGATGACATACCATTTGAGACTCATACCAGGCCTATTTTCTAGGATTACTGTACCAGTAAGTACACAGGAACACATTTTTACAGGACAAAGAGAAACTTCTACAGAAGTAGAAATACCAGTAATCTAACTGAAGATAGACCATCACACTGGTCCTGGTGTTAGCTTATTTACACCTTCCCCCATTTCCCTACTTGTTACATTTCTTCTTAAATTTTATTAGCATAATCAGGAATGGGGCAATCTTTCAAAATTACTTTTTCGGTTGACTACTGTAATGGGATCTTGAGCCTAAATAGGACTCTCAAAACGAACACAAGAAAAATCATACTGGTACTAATCAGAATATGTCTCGAATTTAACACATTGTTTTCACTAGCAGGTTGACTCAATGCTGCATGTGGCGGTACAAAGCAAACCACAAATACTCATTCATATGCCACACAACTACTGTGGAACTGATTTTGTGCATGGAAAATAAACTATTTATCAAAAGAAACATGTGGTATGTTCCCTGCAAAGATCCACTCTCCAGAGTCTAATTTAGCTGAATTCTTTCCCTTCTGGGGAAGGAGGGAAGAAATCTGAAGGGTTCCCTCCCACAATAAATCATTCCTTCACAGAGCCGTGTGGTGTTTCCTTTGGCCACGGGTAACAGTTACGTATTAGTGAGCACATACAACTCAAATGGGGTAATTAAGTTTTCTACTCAACTCATTTTGATGAAGTAGAGAGTTGAAAACATGATTTTCAGTAAAGCTTTTCTCATTAAAAGAAAGTCTAGAAATACAAAAAATTTAGCAACTACTCCATTCTAATATGACTGTTCTTTGCTTTAATGATCTCCTCTCTCCAAAAAAAGATGACAAAGAGATAAATTATTACTTTTTTTTCTTATTGATAATGTGAGAGCCTATATAGCACATATTCAGTCAAAGTGTCCTTTTAAAAAAATCTAGGATACTTACGGAGTCCAAACCTTCGGAAAGGCAGCAATTTCTTCCGGTGTGTATTCATCTAATCTCTTGGGGACTGCACGTGGCTGAGGAATCTCTTGTAGAAGATTCTTCTGTATATCTTCTGGAATAACCTGAGGCAGATGAGAAGTCTTAGCTATCTGACTGCTTAAAAAAACACCACCATTCCCCCCCAAATCCAGACCAAAATTTGTCAACACTACTGTATTCTTCGTCCTAAGTGTTTGACCTAAATACAGAAGACAATCTCACATGTCTTATATCCCATAATTTTGTGAAATAATAAACAAAAAAGTATCAAGATTTCACCTACGTTTAGATTCATAAATAAAAAGCAGTTGGATTTTTCTTAAAGGTAAACTTAAGACAAGAGTGTTGCTATTACTAACATTTCCTTTTCACCTCCAAATCACACAAGAATGAAAACGTAACTACACAACTACTCACATCTTCCGGGAACAGGTGCAGCCTCTGCATCATAGTTCTTCTCTGAAGGTTTTTTGGAAGCATTCTATAAACAGTCAATTTAACAATCTGAGGAGAGATAACATGGCAACAAATAATCAGACAGGCTACAAATAACATGAAAAATGTAAGTTGTGTTTCCCTCTGCCCATTGCACGAGTCACTGAACCTCTTTTCAGTCAACTTCTTCCATGTTGAAGAACGCTGGCACCACATTCAGAAGATGCCAGTCACATAAACACTTACTCTAACAGCTACATAGAAAATTTCAGCTTACGAAGTTGAGAGCTATATTTAGCATTGTGGATGATTGCATATGATCATTCAACTTTGAAAAGAACTGAGAAGCTTGTGGTAATCCCGCATCGTATTGCGCATTTACGTACACGCATTATTGAGAAAAGGACAAAAAAAAGGCTCTAGCCAATTTACCAAGTGTTCTCAGCAACTCGTTTAAGACTGTAATTTGCTCTGTTTGAAATGTGTATGTAATTAATAGATTGTATCTTAAGCAAAGCTGACATACCAATACTTTGCATTATGAACATACTATATATGTTTGTAATTTATTCCCTTGCTATTAGTTCCAGATGAAAAATCTCACTTCTGAGCACCAGGAATGAATACAATTTGTCCACCTATGCTGGACGATGCTTTTTGAAAATTAACAAAATTCAACAGGGTTTCTCTTGGACTCTATTATAGATATGTGTAATTTAAATACAAACCACATTGTTACGGACTTTACCCAAAGGGGAAACATTTTTAAATGTAAAACAAAGCATGCAACTGTAGGAGACAAAAAGGGTTTTATGAAGGACAGAAAAGCATTTAGGGGTAGACCGACGTGCCATTTTGTAAGCAGAAGGAAAGCCACTCTGCCTGTGCTCCAAGCCACTCGGACATAAGCCAGCTCCAAATCGGAAACCATGTGGGCATGCTCAGCGCAAAGCTAAGCTGAGTCAATAAGCCACGCTGAAACGCAGCGCAGTGCGCGCAAACCCATCTCCCAGTCACCTGGATATTTTGAAAAGCATATTGAGCAAAGTTGCTTCTCTTTGTGAAATTAATTAATAGAATCAAATGGAAATTTTAGAGGTAACCACTAATACTCAGTTCCCGGCTGGAAACACATAGTTAAGATAGAATGATTAATTATTGCAAGTGAAATTAATGAGAAGGGCAGGCTCTTAAACTTGCTCTTAAAATTTCTTAAACAGGCTCTTAAAATTTCTGCTTGGATTCTGAAGTCAGTAAACACTCAAGATAGCTTGGTCCCAGTATTATTTTCATTTTGCCATGTAACAGACAGTAACATTGTCTTAGGATCCTCATAAACATATACGACATGCCTTCAGAAACTCTGAAGGCATTTAGAGAAGCCTCATCATGAGGATTTTCAGCTGTTACGCAGTGAGTACCACAGGTCTGTGGTCAAATATAATAAATCAAGAGGACAGAAGAAATACATCAGGCTGGTCAGAGTAATTCACAGTGCTGATATCTTCTCTAATAAAAATTAACAAACAACTATAAAAAAAAGTGAAAAGTAATTTTAGGGTAAAAAATATTATGCTTGTACAGGAAATACAGTTTATTTAGTTCAGTTATCACATGCTTAGACAAAGACAAGATGAAGACAGAAAATTAACCTTCACTGTTTTACCTCAATGAATACTGAAAATCAAGTGAGACACTATAACAGTATAAGAAAAAACATGGATATTAAAAACAGCTCATGTGGAACAGCCTTTTTTTAATTTCGTACACTTATTTTCCTTTCTACTCAATACTCTTCCTTATAGCCAACTGTCATGGTTTAACCTTGGCCAGCAACTAAGCACGAAACAGCCGCTTGCGGGCTCCCTCCGGTGGGATGGAGGTAAGAATCAGAAAAGTAAAAGTGACAAAACTCACAGGTTGACAGAAAAACAGTTTAATAACTAAAAATAAAATTAAAAAAAACCCACAATTGTAAGGAAAAAAACCACACGAACAACAGAGAGAGGAACATAAAACCCAAGAAAAACGAGGGATGCAAATGAAAACAATTGCTCAACACCAACGGAGTGTTGCCCGGCCAGTCCCCGAGCAGCAGCCCCACTGCCCACCTCCTCCCTAGTTTTACTGCTGAGCATGACGTCATATGGTATGGGATATCCCTTTGGTCAGATGGGGTCAGCTGTTCCCGCTGTGCCCCTCCCAAATTTCTGTGCCCCCCAGCCTGCTCGCTGGCAGGGCAGTGTAAGGAGCAGAAAAGGCCTTGACTGTGTGAGCCCTGCTCAGCAACAGCTAGAACAGCCCTGTACCATCAACGCTGTTTCCAGCACAAATCCAAACCACAGCCCCACACGAGCTACTGCGAAGAAATTTAACTTTATCCCAGTCAAAAGCAGCACACCAATGAAAGATCAAAACATGTCAGATCTAAAACAACGGATCCAGAGACCTCTCAACATATTGCCTAACTGGGGATTTTTTTCTTTATCTAAAAATTACTTTTGACTTCAAATTGTGACAGAACCATTGTTAATTCCTTAGATTAATAAACTGTACATACATATGGTCCAAGATATGACCTATGACTTACAGATATACAGACCTAATTATTTAATGATTCCACTCCAATAAAAAGAGATACTTCACAATACTTTAATGAACATTGTTAAATATTTTACTTCTTCAAACAATGTTTGTGTTCATTTTTTCATCTTCCTCTGCAGCATGTGGCACAGACACCTGTTGAAACCAGTGATCTAGTGGAACAGCTGGCCCATCCTTGTAGATATTTCTGCCTGGTGAATCTAATCCAATTTTTTTAGCCACATTACAAAGAGTAAAGAGGTGACTCTTAAAAAAACACACTGGAAAAGAATGACTTGATTTATATGCCCAAGATAAACAATGAAGAAATATTTTCAGTGTTCTGTATCATCACTAAAGAAATGACAATCTCAGGGGATGACAGACTAACATGAAAACAGGACTTGGAGAATAAATCATGGATAATTATATACTCAATAATAGTTTCTATAGATAAGTATGCTAAGCGCAATGAGCATAACCCAAGGTATGCTTCGGTGTGTCTGTCGATCTCCATGCTGTTCAAGAACTCATTTGGCTTCCTGTGCCCTCTCACACATGCAAGAAGTGCGTTACTGCAAGATCTGCAAGAATGGAAAAGTCATCCTCACATGAAGCACAAACCATTTTTTACTGAAAGGCAGACCACAGAACCATAGAATGGTCTGCGTTGGAAGGGACCTTTAAAGGTCATCTAGTCCAACACCCCCTGCAATGAGCAGGGACATCTTCCAGTAGACCAGGTTCCTCAAAGCCTCATCCAACCTGGCCTTGAACACTTCAAGGGACAGGGCATCTACAACTTCTCTGGGCAACCTGGTCCAGCACTTCACCATCCTGACAGTAAAGAATTTCTTCCTTAGATCTAATCTAAATCTACTTTATTTCAGTTTATAACTATTGCCCCTTGTCATGTCACTACAGGCCTTGATAAAAAGTCTTTTTTCATCTTTCTATATCGAAAGGCCACAGTAAGTTCTCCCTGGAGCCTGCTCTTCTCCAGGCTGAACAACTCCAACTCTACATTTTTTTCAGTTGTTTATGGATTTCTACGGCCTCCTCTCCACACTCCTCTACCTGTAACAGTAGCAATCTGTAAAATTCCACATCCTCATAAATACTCACTCCTAAAGGCCATGACACTTTCTCCATCAGGTAAAGACACCCACCATCAGATGTATATAGCCACCAGGGCATTAATATTTGGGGATTTTTAAAGTACTGGAATGCTGTCTGCCTCAATTTCCTTTGACTTGCAAAATTCCTATTGGCTGTAGTTATTATTGTCATCTTGAATATTGCAATATCTTTTTCCCAAGTTGGCTCATTTATATAGTCATAGCATAGACACTCTCTTAATCACACGGTTGTATGACATTACGTTTTTAGTTTCCAATTTAAAGGGCTAATTAGGAGGAAAGGAATCTGAAGGCAGCTCTAGTAAAGCTCTTGCACTTTCAGTCCCTTACTACACACTCTAACATTTTATGAGTACAAATAAATTAAAAATGTATTTATTTGAAACACTGTGTGAGGCTTGAACATTTCAATTTTTTATGATAGGCTTTGGCTCATGTGCAAGTTGCCAACTACGCTTGATGGAGAGCAAGTTCTGAGAAAGACTCTTTGCCAGATAAAACATACTTTAAAGAAGGAAATCAACAGAGCAATACCACTCCTGGTCCTGAGAAGCACAAAATAATTGGCCAAAGTTCCAGAAGAAAGTCTACCCTAACAGCTGAATTAAGCCAAATAATCACCAGGAAGCAACTCTAGAACATGCAAAGGACACAGCGCTCCAGAGAAAACAAACGGATTAATTACAGGGCATATCCCCCCAAAAAAACTAGAATAATTTCAAGAGATACGCCAGTTACCTGGGGGTACAGTTTGATGCTCCGTCTTCCGTCTACCAGTGCCTGGTTTTCTGTTCTGTATACGCTGCTGTTCTTTTCACCACATATGTTACAAAAGTGTACAAAGAACTTCACCTTACTACCTCCGATGAGCAGCACAGCAACAGTAAATGTACTTAATACTGCCATAAGAATCTTTTGGTCACAGACAAATTAAACCTCCATTGCATGCCATCTTGCTTTCCACTACTTTTCAGCACTTAAAAACTTAGAAGTTTAATGTGTTCTTTAAATTACTATATTAATTTGCCTTGCAAATTCAAATAAGAAATGGACTAAGATTTTTTTTTTTTAAAGCAAAGTAATTATTTTTGTCCACTACGAAGCAAAAGATTAAGCCTGCTCTAAGACTTATTTAGAGCACTTAGAGGTTTTAAGGTAACAGGTTTCATAACAATATTCTCCTCCCATGCCATACTAACTTCTGTGTGCCTACTAATCCAGACTTCGAATATTTGCTCTACTTAATTAAAAAAACATTACTCTATAGTAATAAAAGAAAATGCTATTATAACTAGTGTTTCAGTAGCTGACTTTCAGTATGTACATATTATTCAATTTACTCACGCAAAGAAAATAGGCTTTCGACTACCAGCAGCAAGATTTAACCCTGCTTTCTGTCTTGAGCTTTTCTTCAAAAGATCATTATTATACAGATATAACGACAAGTCTATACATGCAAGCAGTTACTAAAGAGCATTCAAAAGGAGAATTAGAACATTTTCAGTCCCTTCACATCAGTGCCAGCAGCTGAACAAATCAGAACCCTGACACCGCCGGAGGCTTCCTCACAGCAGATTCCCATAGAGCTTCCCTGCCTGGCTTAATAATCTTCCCTAGCAGGTGACATTCATTCTGAACAATTATTGCCCATTATTTCTTTGTCAGAGGCAATACAGCCTCTGAACACTGCAAAGGTCAATCCTCTCACTGAGCATTTGGTATTAGCCTAACGGGATTTCTTCTTTTTCTTTTTTTTTTTTTGGGGGGGGGGGGGGAGTTTCTGTTGCAGCCAAACAAAACAAAACAAAACAAAAAAGTTCTGCTTACTTTTAAAATTAGACATGAAATAAAAACTGATTGAAAACTTTGTCCTGACAGGATTACTGCCTGGTTCTACAGATTAGATCTGCCAACATATTTGCAGGCATTTTAATCAAAAGCCGTAAGATTTTTCCAGAAGTTCTTTCCAAGTAATCTTTGCTCTCTCTCAAAACTGTGAGATTTAGAAGTACGTCTTTTAGTCTTCCTGTATCAAGTACTTTGAAGCCTAATTTTGAAAATGTTGGTCTCATGCCTGTCAGCATTTTCCCAGCTAAACAAAACTTCCGCAAATTTTATTCAAAACAAACAAGAAACCCCCAAACTTCCATGCATTCCAAACACCTGCATCTCAAATAAAAAGGTTTACCTGTTTCCTTTATTTTCGAAAGACTCTTGGCAAAGAAAACACACCAAACCTTTCAAACAGATTTTTCTTAGCAATCTACAATGGAAATTAATGTTGTCCACTAATACGGGAGTAGTAATACCATAGAGAATATTAGTATCCTTTTTAATATTTTAATAATTAATATTATATTAGCTTGAAGAACAGAGGCTGTTTTGAACTACCGCAACAAGCTCTTGTGCTGTACCTAAAGAACATCTTTAATACTCTCTCCTATGGGTGGTCTAAGAATTTACACTAAATCCAAGACAGAGAAAGAAAAGGCTGAAACGTGAAGAAGTTATTTTTTTCTTCAATAAGCACCTCCTAAAGTAGCCCGGCCAAGTCCAACAGACGAGAGCTGTTCTCCACTATTCTCCAGAAGAGCAGACAGCTGAAAACACCAGAAATTTTAAACAGATTCACAGACACTCCCCTCCCCATGCTTCCCAAAGGAACTCCCAAAGGTGCTAAAGGTAAAAATGTGCTAGACTTATTTACTTTTGATATCTTTTTGGCAACACACAGTAATTTTTACCCTTCCATAAAATCAAATTTTTCCGAAGTGTTGAAAAACTTGGCACGATGAATATGGAACTTTAAGTTCTATACAAAACATCAACTATGCATACCTCTTTTTGTATTCACTGCCCCATATTAACGCAAAAGATCCTTAGAAGTGGGAAAAAAAAGTAATATTTTGTCAATCTCAGGCACAAAATTATACATCTGAGATTAAAGAGTTCTAATAGGCACAAGAGTTTATTTATTCTCTTCAAGAATGAAGAAAAGTCAAGGATTGGCAATGGCTGCCATGGGAGGCTTTCAAGACTAGTCTGGATAAGCTCCCAGCAGCCTCATCTGATCTACTAGCTGACACTGCTTTGAGTAGGAGGTTGGACTAGAAATCTGCCGAGGTTCTCTCTAACCTGAGTCATCTGATGATCCTATGAAAAAATGCATGTGCACATTCAATATGCAACACAAATCCTTTGAAGTACTAAGTACTACCTGCGAGGAATATAAAGGTACAAAGTTAGTAAGATAGATACAATGATGTCAGCCTCCGTAAGTGAGAATATCAGATCATCATCCATCCCTGTCTTGGTACCTCATGAAGGAACCTCATGATCAAGGTACCTCATGATCAGTACCTCATGATCAAGGATGAGTATCTAAACACACTGCAGTAAACATGTTTAAATTCTGACAACTATACTTATGACTTTCAGCCCCCCATTAAAACAAAAACTATACCATTTTGCATCAAATTACTCATTATAACCTTTTTCATTAGCTATTAGCTGTGTACCAGTTTTTCCTAAAACCAGTCTCTCTGCGTACTAGAAACTACATTTAAACAAAATTGTGATGGAAAAATATTTATCTTGAGGATTTGTATGTTTGTATGTGGACATACATAAGTAAAGACAGCCCTAAGCAGTACTGGAGTCCTACTATATGCATACACAGAGAATCTTACAAGCTTTAATCTATTTCTTACATAAACCAAAAATAGCCACATCCATTGCAAAATCTCTATGTAACACCAGGCAAGTTTACAAGGTGTTATGTCAACATCCTTTTCCTTGGAAGTAGTCTCTTCCATTAATTTAATGCCTTAATTTCTGTAATAGCACTATTTCCAAACACAATGTTGACTCATTCAATGAAGGCTACCAGGATGAGTTAGTAGCAGACAACAGGACCAAGGGCAGAGAAAAGGCAATAGCCCCCAGGATGAAAACAATGTTTTAGAGAATGAAGACTTTGATTCCACAACCTTCAACCTACCCAATTCCACTGGCTTCACAGGAATTGAAATTAACACGATTAAAAGAAAAAAGTCTCTTTTTAAATCAGAGAAGTGAAATAAAGCGATCTATACAAGTTTCCACAATAACTATGCGTCATTTATTTTGAAGATCCAAATGCTACTTAGGCTAGACATTGTTCTCTTTACAGAAGTCTTTTTTTCAGGTTTTAATAGCTAGTTTTAAAAATAAAACATCTTAAAAAAACACCATCATAATTTCCATCTTTGCCATATCCCAATGCATTTCACACCAAAACAATTCAACTAGTAAATAAATGTTTCTAGCCATAAAAATCACTTGCAAGTCAAAACCTGTAACAGCTATGCACACAGAATATATCATGCCAAACTACCATCCACTACTACTAATTATGACAAAAATATATAGGAGATATCTTTAGGAGAGGGACGTACAAATGCTTAATCTTCAACAGAATGAAAGAGTTAATTGCTGAGGGCTCTCCACAATTCTGTTTAAAAAAAAAGTTTCTCTCCCTAAATCAGACCAAGCCTTGAGCCACATCACCATTTGCTGAGCCTCTGTCCAACATGCTTCAGTTATTGGCAATGCATTTAATCCTCCTCTACTTGCACAGAAATCCATCCATGAGTCTGGCAAGAAACGAGGTATTTCAGAATGAATGCCAGAAGGTAATTTATAGAACACCCAGCTCTCAGGCCCTAGCAAACAAGTTGCGTTATGCTGCCTCCCAGTGCACAGTGTCTGCCTGAAGCTCAGAGGAAAAAAGAATCCATTTTAGACATGGAACTATCAATAATTCCTAAAGGAATTACAACTATCTTAGAGCCTGTTCTCAAAAGCATTAAGTTGTTTTGAAAATTTCTAGACAGAAAATATTTTTTTAAGCAGTAACAAACACATCCACACTGATGTTCGGCAGAATTGATAGTAAGTACAGACATTCAGTAAAGAGACTTGAGTTCAACGTAATCACCATTTCCAGTTCTTTCACAGACCATGAACACACAGCATTGCAGAAAGATTTAAAAAAACCCCAACAAAATCCTTTAACAAAACCTACAGCTGAATTTTAGCGGGAGAAAGAGGCAG